TCCTGCTTTGATTTTTCACTTAATGTCTCTATAATCAGTAAATACCTGATTGTAGAGACATCTTTAATCAAACGTGGTCTCGACAGGTTCCCTTTCATCACAGTCCATTTAATATCAATCTTATTTACAGTAAGTTTCATAAAAACACATACAGTTAAATAACAGAAAAGCGCTTATTATGACATATTAAAGATTATTTATACTGGCACAGTTGAATTTTGTATTTTTAAAAAATCCAACATTTTTAACTTTGTCTCCAAACTGCTCAATCTGAGCTGTCCTCTAAGTGTACTCATTTCTAGTCCTGTTCTGTATGGTCACTAACAGAGACATTCTTAGCATCTTCAACACTGCCAACACTCCTGTCTGTTTGTCTGTGCCACCATCTCCACATCATACATCCCAGCAGACCTTCACTACCATCTTGTAAACGTTCCTTTTCACTCTTGCTGCTATTCTTCTGTCACAATTCCAGGCTGTTGTCTCAGAGATCAGCAGACCTCTATAAACCACCTCTCCCCCACTGATGGAGCGCTGATCGTGTGTCGACACAGCGGGCAGGTGCCAAACTGCTCACAGACTCTGAAGTTGCAGTCTTTACATAAACACCGGTGGCCACAAGGCAGTGTGATTCTGGCCTCTTTTACCATGCACACCACACAGACGTTATCTGTTGTAAAAAGAGAGAGATCCCAATTACAAATGTGACATCAGGAAATGAGACCACACTATTACAGCTGATTTCACTTTTATCTTCTCTGGTCAGAAATGTGCAACTGAAATTAGCCAAAAATGTTTGAAATGACTCTTTACCTTCTGGCATTTTTGTGTCAAGACAGGAGATGCAGTCCTCACGTCTGAAGCCTGAAACATCAGGAACTGAACGAAAGTGACTGTCAGGATCAGGTGAGGCGAGCGGTTCAGGTGCAGGACAGGATCTTCTACGGTAAAGCAGCTTTTTGTTTTTCTTGGAGTCTTCAGCAAAGAGAAAGGAGTATTTGAATAGTCTGTTAGTCTATGAATCATTTATAACTCTCAGAGCATGTGAATTGCTCTGCATTCACAGAACAGGAAAAACATTCTGTAGGTCAAATATAACCGTGGTTCTTGTGAACTTACCCAGGAGCAAAATGGAGCGCGTCTGTCCGTAGATGTCTATCATGGCCCACAGCGGCTGTTTAGTGTCCACTCCTGGTTGTCGCTCGTACGCCTCGTTGTTGACACCTATGTATATGCTGCCTTGAGAAGAAACCCAAAACTCCAGCTCTGAACCTGCTTGGCAGACAGATTCATGCAATGGAACAACCCAGTGTCCGGGCTTGTCAGTGAGGTTGGGCATGGACATGCAGGGCAGAGGCAGAGATCTGGTTGAGGGTGGCACAGTGGTAAAGCCCACACGCAGAGCCCCGTAACAGATGGATGAATCCTTCTCTATTCTCAGACAAATCTTCTCCTGGATCTTCACTGGTCGGTTGCTGAACACCAGCCCATTCATGAAGGTGTTATCAGTCTTCTCTGCGAGTCGACCTCCATGACTCAGACGTATGTTTTCTCCCACAGCCTGACTGTCGAAGGTCAGAGGACTGACACAGCGTGAGCTGCATCTGTGTGACACCTCTGACTTGCCAACTACACAGAATTAAATAAAACTTATTAGTGCTGATATAAAAAAATTTCTTTGCATGTGATCAGATACTTAAATATCATGCATACATTTAATGGTTTTAATGAAAATTAGTAGTCTGACTTACTATTAATAAAAGATAACTGAAAATAATGTGACAAGGTTTTCTGTCATGAGCTTATTTTACACCTTTAAGATGTTTCTGAAAAAGATTTTAGTGCAATAATAAAAGCTAATAAACTTGTAAACAAGTCGTAATAAAATTTGCAAACTCCTGTGCTTTCTCTTTTGAGAATGATGTGACGCTTTGGAGTTCATCCTGATCATTAAACAAAGTAAACTAAGTTGCATTCAATGTCCACTAGGTGGCCTGTGATTATTCATTGTTTATGTCTCACACAGTTATTGTGTTTGCACTTTATCTTTGGCAATAAGCATTACCTCTAAAATATAAACTTTATCTTTAAAGATTTTTACATTTAATTCACAGCTTATAATTAAGATTTTTTTTTTTGCAGTCGTTTGCTAATCCTTACAGTACTTTGCCATTTTTCATATATTCTTTTTTGTTTTCACTCAGTTTTCATGGATTTATTTCAATAGATAACAGCAGATTTTACATTCTTCAAAGTTACAAGTGAAAAACATCTGTTTCTCATATTTATGCACTATAATTTCCAAAGTCAATTATGTTGCTTGTTTTCATATAATATAAATAACTGTTTAGTCTAGTAACAATATAGAAACAGCTGATATTTGTTGATTTTGGTATAATAATTATTGATTTACCAAACTGATATATAAAGCAGCTCTGTAACTTACATTTAAAAATCCTCATAGAGCGTGACCATGGCATTTTGAAGTTGTAAATAATACTTGTCAGCTGAGTCCTGATGGATGATAGTGTGTGTGCTCCTTTATAGTTTCCACATGTGGGTTGAAGACACAAATACTCCCAGAATAACCAGGAAAGGAAAAGAGGAGGGCCTGGGGAAGTGACTGTACTTTCTGATGATGTCATCAACCTCCATTCACAGTTTGAATTTCAATTTCAGTCTGAGCTGAGTGAGGACATCAGGACACTCACAGTAACAGTCTTATTGAGCTTTAATCTTCTGTGCACAGATTCTATACTATGTACTATTGTTAGGCTTTGTTTATACATGTGAAATATCAGCCCAAAATACTTTTTTTTTTTTTTTTTTTTTTGCACTTGTCAGGAATTAAATCCAAACCAACCTGCATGCTTCAAAAAAGCCAGACAGTCTTCCAGGAACATAATAAAGACTTTCTGTTTGAATAACAAAACAAAGAAAAAACAAAAGAACTGGATGATGATGGTGTCAATTAAAAATATTTGCTGTTTTTTGGTTTGCTTTGGAGCATCTTTGTCAGTCCTCTACTTTGATTTTAGTTTTTATTTTGATGGATATTTTACGGCTATAAAACCGAAACACATTGAACTGTAGAAGAGTGACGCACTTTTCATGCACAATCTAAAATATATATTAGAACATTAACAGTAGTGTAATAGTTAATGATGCTGAAGGTTTAGGAGATGGCTTCTTTGTTGTTTTGCTGTCAGTTTAATCTTTGTTGATTGATTGATTGATTGGTAATTTACTTCAACATGTGAACAATTTACAAGTAGTACAAGTAGTTAACCTGACCTTTTCTGGGAATGACTTTTATTGGTTGTAAATCTCTGCATCTCTCTGCATTTCTGAGAACTTTGTTTACACTCGTTCATGAATTAGGAAATCCTTTACACATTAACAAAGGATAAACAGCGCAGCTTTTTTTTTTGCTATAAAGTGACTCAGATAAAGCTTTTAAGTTAACCTGTACACAAGTCATAATGAAAGTACCAAACTCTTTTGCTTTTACTTTTGCAGACCAGGTTAAAGTTTGGCCTTAGTCAGATGAGTTGCCGACAGAAACAGTTCACTAGATGAGCTTTGATTTAAAATTCAGGGTTAGTTTTCTTTCTTTTGTCATTGCTGCAGTGGGTGGGATGAAAAAAATTAGATTTCTGTTGATGTAATTTCATTTTGGGCACGGCTAGTTCAATGTGCTGCAGTAAACATCAGCTGAGTGAAAACAGGACAACCATGGCAAAAATCATAAACATAATCATAAACTTAAGGAGAAGAAGTGAATTTGGAAAGAGTTTATGACTGTAAGGCAGGATTGTCCAACTCCAGGCCTCGAGGGCCGGTGTCCTGCAGGTCTTAGACGTGTCCTTGATCCACAACACAGCTGATTGAAATGGCTAAATGACCTCCTCAACAGTTAATGAACTCATCATTTGATTTAGGTGTGTAGACATAGGGTGATATCTAAAACCTGCAGGACAACGGCCCCCGAGGCCTGGAAGGTTGGACACTCTGGCTGTAAGGCTTTTGTCATATATAATCCAAAATGAGAAGAACAACACAAGAAACAAAAAACCTTTAGGATCTGAAAAATATCCAATAAATGAATCACACCTCTTTATGAATACAAATAGTTACTCACAGAACAAGGCTAAGTTTAAAACCTGCTGATTTGTTGTTGCATGTTGTTTGTTCACTGAACTCTAAGTTAAAGAATAAGTTTTTTTATACAGATATGGGGTAACATTGCATACTAAAGAAAAGGTGCTACACCTGTCAGGAAGATCAAACCAGGAGAGCCGAATACAAAAGTTAGCCTTGATGTTCATTAATTTTCATGTCACAGCCAATCAGTCTTCCAGCTCTTTAATAAACTATTTGAAATAACGAACAAACAAACAATAGGAAAGCTCCGTGGGGCTGAGGATGGAAAATTGGACCTTCAAAATCAAACTACAAACTATTTTTGTTTTATTTTGACCACCAGTGTTATTAATTTGTCACAGTCTGACAATAGAGAATAAGGTTTTTAATTTCACTGAGATTTTACTCTCATGGTTCTGGGTCCTTTTAACCCAGCATTTTGTGTTTTCTTGTATTCCTGTGGTAGTTTGTATTATTGGATTATGTTCTGGTTCATTAGTGGTCTTTAGTTTTCTATTGTGAGCTATATGGGCGATCATGGCTCAAGAGTTGGGAGTTCGCCTTATAATTGGAAGGTTGCCGGTTTGAGCCCCAGCTTGGACAGTCTTGGTCATTGTGTCCTTGGGCAAGACACTTCACCCGTTGCCTACTGGTGGCGGTCAGAGGGCCCGGTGGCGCCAGTGTCTGGCAGACTCGCCTACCCTCCTCCTGCTTTACAGGTGAAAATAGAGCAACAGGACCGCTAGTCTTTGACTTTATTTATTTTCTGCTGTATTTTACTTGCATCTATTTGAAAGACTGAGTGTAAACACAAATATATATATATATATTATGTGCTGGAATGTGCAGAAAATAGGTTTAAATATTAAACAAATTTCTTCCAGTCAGTGAATGTTGCATATAACATAAAACAAGTTTTGAAAAGAAACTTTTCCATTTGATTACATTTTATATGATGGATTATGCAGAAAAAGTAGAATTGGGCTGAAAGATCTATC